AACTAAGGAGCAAAGGTAATGGCCCATTCTGTTTCCTTATTGTTTGGTATGGGAATTACAGAAAGGGGACCTAGGAGCAGTGGAAACACACGTAAGAATCTGGGTTCTAGCGCTGGCCAGTGTACTCAGTGGTTCGATTCCCAGACCTGCGTAGCAGGTTGGTCCCCGCCAGTCTCGGGGCATGCGGGAGGCAGCCAATAGATGTGTCTCGCACATGGATGTTCCGTTCTCTCTCTCCCCCTCCTTCCGCGCCCTTCCATTCTCTAAAAATCAATGGAAAAAATAGGGTGTGTTTCACAGACATGAGCAGAACAAGGATGATGGACCAGGTACAGAAACTCACCACAGCACAAAGCCCCAGATGCCTGCAAGGGGCAAAACTGCGAACACAGAACCTTGTCCCCAGGGCACCCTCCCTCCCTAGCACCTGTATCAAGTGCACACTGGTCTCCCTCACTGGTCATGCTGTTTGGACCCTGACCTTTTCCTCCCTAAAGATAACATCAGTTGTATTTCAGCTCCAGGCCCAGAAAAGCAGCAAAACCAGACAAGTGACAAGTGGCTGCCTCAGGACCAGCTGCAGTGACTGATGACCCCCTGCCCTGGCGCTGACCAGTCAGTGGAGATCACGGCCCTGAAAAAGCTCCCCTGGAAAGCTGATGGATATTCTATTGAGACCCTCTCCTGAGAGCTCCCCTAAGATTCCCACCTGCAAGATAGAAGTACAGGAGGATGGAGGACCCATCCCCATTGAGAACTCTCCTCCTGGGAGCATGCCAGATCCTTTCCCTTGCTCCTACTTCCCTCTAAGGCAGTGGTTCTCAACCTTCCTAATGCCGCGACCCTTTAATACAGTTCCTCATGTTGTGGTGACCCCCAACCATAAAATTATTTTCGTTGCTACTTCATCATGCTGTTTGGACCCTGACCTTTTCCTCCCTAAAGATAACATCAGTTGTATTTCAGCTCCAGGCCCAGAAAAGCAGCAAAACCAGACAAGTGACAAGTGGCTGCCTCAGGACCAGCTGCAGTGACTGATGACCCCCTGCCCTGGCGCTGACCAGTCAGTGGAGATCACGGCCCTGAAAAAGCTCCCCTGGAAAGCTGATGGATATTCTATTGAGACCCTCTCCTGAGAGCTCCCCTAAGATTCCCACCTGCAAGATAGAAGTACAGGAGGATGGAGGACCCATCCCCATTGAGAACTCTCCTCCTGGGAGCATGCCAGATCCTTTCCCTTGCTCCTACTTCCCTCTAAGGCAGTGGTTCTCAACCTTCCTAATGCCGCGACCCTTTAATACAGTTCCTCATGTTGTGGTGACCCCCAACCATAAAATTATTTTCGTTGCTGCTTCATAACTGTAATTTTGCTACTGTTATGAATTGTCATGTAAATATCTGATATGCAGAATGTATTTTCATTGTTACAAATTGAACATAATTAAAGCATAGTGATTAATCACAAAAAAAATATGTAATTATGTGTTTTCCGATGGTCTTAGGCGACCCCTGTGAAAGGGTCATTCGACCCCCAAAGGGGTCACGACCCACAGGTTGACAGCTGTTGCTCTAAGGGACCGTGAGACTTGCAACCAGGGGAGCAATGGGGAGCATAGCTTGTCCCAGGCTCACCCCCTGAACCTGTCTCCAAGGCCCCCTTTTCTCTGACTTTTCAGTGACCCAGAACAGCCCCACCTAGGCTCTCCTGTTACTTTTTCTATGCATCTTACTTGTTTCACTGCCCTAAGTATATTTTTGCTGCCATCATCAACCCAGTGCTGTGTAGTCCTTCCCTTTGGATAGCCCCATCCCCTTTTCTTTAAATAAATTCAATTTTTTTTGAATTTATTGCGAGGACTTGAGATTGCTATTTAGCCTGCCCATGCACTACCAACTTTTTTTAAATTTTTTAAATATATATTTTATTGATTTTTTTTACAGAGAGGAAAGGAGAGGGATAGTTAGAAACATCGATGAGAGAGAAACATCGATCAGCTGCCTCCTGCACACCCCCTACTGGGGATGTACCTGCAACCAAGGTACATGCCCTTGACTGAAATCGAACCTGGGACCGACGCTCTAGCCACTGAGCCAAACCGGTTAGGGCGCACCACCAACTTTAACCGTTCAGTGAGGATTAACAAAAAAAGAAAAACAAAAAGAACCTGGGTTCTAGGACCTGTCCTCTGCCGATAAGTGTCCAAGCAGGGCATGCATGCACGTTCGGCTGGGACCCTTTCCCTGTGATTGCACTAGGCCTTGGAGATGGAGGTGCATGAAGCACTGTGATCCTGCCTTTTAGCTCCCAGACTAGTGGGAGAGATTGGCATGCTTAGCAATAACAAAAATAGAAGACATTGGGATATTAATGCATATGCAAATCTCACCTGTGAAGAATTTAGCTGTATATAGCCAACATTTTCTCTGGAGAACAATTCATGCTATGATAAAAATATGTGCTTAGGGAGCAAGAGTGGTGAAAAGGGAACGCAAGGCAGACAAAGGGATGTGTGGGGATTTTTTTAGGTGCAAAGAGCAGCTTATAGAGACATAGATGTGTACTGAAGGACATGCAGTTGGGATGTACAAAGGTGGGATGTAAGGGGAGTGCCAACGAGGCTTGACAGGTAGGCTCAGTTATACGGGAGGCCTGTATGCTTTGCTAAGAAACTTGGACTTTATCCAGGCAAGTGGATCAAGGAAAGGCTTAATGTAGGGTAGAAGCGTGAACAGATTTCAGATTTCAGGAGGCAAGGAAGTCAACTGCCAGAACAGTTCAAACGTACAATGCAGAAGACTGCCCTGCCCATCCCTCAAAGTTGCTGAGGGGGTCAAACAAGATAACGGTATGTTTGAGAGCCCTGAATACACAAAAGGTCACACAATTACAAGATAATCACTATTACTCTCACCCCTTGATCACCATTTAAGCCAAAGAACCAAGGAATGCAGGAATACTGATTCTCAGACTACAATTTGAATGTTTATTGTGCCTAGACTGTGTATTTTTTTCCCTTTGAAGTTTATGGTCCAATCTGAAAAAAGCAAGGTACAACTCAGTATGTACAGCATAACCCAATAAGAAAACAAGTATCTCTGTGGATTAGGATTCCTTGTAGTCTTTACTTTTTTCTATCTATCTATCAACCTATTACAATATATATTACATTTATCTCAAGAACAATAAAAAAACAATTCCCAAAATGTTCACCTGTAGTAAGTGCACACTGGTATCCCTTAGTATCAAACTTTTTGTTGTGCAAACTTACATAGCAAATAGATCTTGTTAAATTTTCTGTTGACTCTCTCACTATCCAAACCCCACTTTTTGTTTCCCTAAAACTCGGGAACCAAATAGATTTAGATAGTGAGAAAATACTTATAATTGCTTTTTTAATATTAGCCTCATTGCTGGCTTCAATTTTTTGGCTTTTTCTTTTTCTTTCTCATCTACTAATGTATACTCTTTTTATAGATGATATATTTGTTAAAAGAACAAATATATCTCTATGAACTCATTTAAATTCCATTTGGAACAAAACAGATTATAGATAACATACACATATTTGGGTCTTATTGAAAAACATAGCTTTAATAGGAAAGCTCAACTAGGAATAGGAGCAACCTGGGGACAACAGTACTCCCCACATGGTGATGTGCTTCTCGGGGAGCAAATACTGCAACCAGGGGATGGACAAGGATCTAGGAACCAATATCCTTCGCCTCCCAAGGAAGAGGATGGGGGAGGGATTGTTGAGTCGCCCAGAAAAAAAAGGAAAATCAAGAGTCTTCCTTCTCCTGGAACCTATGGAGAAAGAAAGGATTTCTTTGTTATATTGGATTGAAGGAAGAGGTTCTAGCAGTGTAAGGTGACATACTCAAATAATCAAGGGAGGGCTTTTATTTATGACACTGTGGAAAGCTAGCTCCCATAAATGGTCCTCTAACTTCAAGCCAACTAAAAATGCTGGGATTGAAAATACATTGAAAGAATTATGACCGAGAAGTATGCAGATGTTTCTTGGAATGCGAAAAGCACTAGCCATGAAAGAAAAAAAAAAGGATAAACTGGACCTAATAAAAATTTAAAACTTCTGTTCATTTAAAAAAAAAAGTTAAGAAAATAAATAGATAAGACTGGGGGAAATACTCTCAAAAGATATATCTAACAATCAATATTTTTAATCCATTGATGAGATGGCAAGAAAGTAAACACAATTCATATTGGGTAAATGATGTAAAACCAGGAAACTAAACAGGTAAGTGAAAACTGAAACCCCTGCTACCATGGTCCTCTTGCTGTTTTGACAGCCATATGAAGGAATCTTAGACAGAACTACAATGTATGATTGGAGGTACTGGGCATACATTTGGGACCCCCAGGGGGCTACCCCTCTGTGTAAAAGTAAACAAAATCTAACTCTGCAGAAGGAGAATTTGTGTCACTAGGTAGAGGAAGGAAAATCTCCTCTGAGGTTTTCTAACCATAGCTGGCCCTTGCATGGACTTGCAGTCCCAATTCATACTACCTATATAGTTGAGAACAACCTGGAACCAAGTTTAAAGTGATTCTGGCTTGTGCCTCAAGGGACCTGAACAGGAAACACAAATGCTGAGGATACAGCATTCATCCCATGCTTCAAAGAATTCCCATAGTTCAAATTCTAAAAAACTGAATTTTATAAAACAAAGAAAATTATATAAAAACTAATAGCTGAAATAAACTGAAGACAGAATTAGTGAC